TATCACGTTATAACGTGATAGCGCTCGAAATTTTTTTTTCCCTGCGTGATAGCAATACGCTTCCGTAAATTATTGATTTATAACAATCTCCTATTTCTTGTTGAAGAGTTTCTTGTAAGTTAGTTTAGTCTTATTTCAAGTGAACTAAGACATTTGTACACTTGAAATAAGTGTACACACTTGGACCACAAACACTTGGTAATATTTTGTGTTTTTACATTGCGGACAGTGATTTCCAAAGGCTTCAGGTCTTCTTCCTGTTGGACTTCAGAACCGTCTGCCTTGATAACCTGCCTGTCCTGGTTAATATGTTAGAAGAAGACAAACAGTTTTGTTTGCTGTATTGGCCAACGCTGCGTGAGCGATGAAGGGTCTAACATCAGGGACGCCTGGAGCGACCCGAATCCAGTGTGTGGCGTTCAGGGTTGGCCCCCTCAGTTGGGTCACTGTCTCTGTGTGTCTTGGTTAATGCCCCACTCACCCTCCGACTGCTTCCCGTAAGCCACTCCGTGTGGGTGGATGCTGTACGCGCCGTAAGCCATGTTTCTGAAAGTGACGACAATGGTCTCGCCCTCCTCGGCCCTCAGCGTGGGCCCCAGCAGACCTGCAGGGAGAGGCACAGGATCCAGTTTCTTTATTTGGACTTTGTGTGGGAGTCATTCTGGGATTTGAAGCAACGTGACAACACACCGGGGGCAAGTTTGGGACCCCTCTCGTGCTTTCTGGGTAATTATTAAATATGTGACTGTGGTGGAACAGTGTGAAAGTGAGTTCTGTATTTTATTTTTTTTCATCATCACAGACCAGGAGTCTGCAAGCTTCACAATCCAGAGAGCATTTTATTTGTCCTCAGTTCATCAACAAAAAAACCCCCAGTTTAGACACATTTTCTATAATAAAATATTTTTTTAAAAGTAAGCCTGCAGAATGTCATTTTATTAAAAAGAAAAAGTTTTATACATATTTTTGAACCTATTTTAAAATGCAAGCTAGACCTAACATTTGTGAGAGGCACGCACACAGTCGTGATTGTCAGCGCTAAGACCCGCCTCCTGACTCGCATTGGTTGTTTGTAGTTAGAACTGGGTGAAGGCAGAGAAGCTCTTCTTTTTTCTTTTCTTTTCTTTTTACAGATTATCTGCGCCATGTCATACTGTCACATCATAGAGACACTTTCAACAAATATTTAATAAATCTATATTATTAAATCTATATTATTATATATAGATTATAAAGGCTACACACTGCAGCTTTAATAATTGAAAAAATATTTTTTCAGCTTGTTTTTGAAAATGTTCTCCATCTGATATAAAACAAATTGGATGATCTAAAACATTTAAGTTTGACCAACAATATTTTAAAATAAATATTTGTTCCCAGCCTGGTTCCAGACGGTCGTAGGAGTACCAGGATGATTCGATGCCCTTCCTCTATGGAAAATTGTTAAAAAAAAAAAAATATTTCTGCTGTGGGAGTCGACTTTTGAGGCAGAGTTTCTACATGATCAGAGCCGGGCCATTGGCTTGTTTACCTCCAACCGCACTCACCTAACCAGGGCGGATGAGTCTTAGCCCGGCTGAAGGTTTCGTCATATTCCCGAAAAACCACTTTCTTGTAGGTGGGATCCTGCCTGAGGAATGGTGGGAAAATACAAAACATCAATCAGCAAGCCAGCAGGACGGGAATCTCCTCGTCTAGTCATGGTAAAAACAAACAACTCCGCCTCAAAAGTAAAGGAAATGAGTTAGTATTTAAGATCTGTGTGGTCAAGACAGGCTGTGATGACGGTCATGTGACACCATATGCAAAATTACTGTATGGTTTCACACAAGTAAAGCATGTGTGTGATTTGGTTGAACAGTCAACGGCCTGCGGAATCACTTTTAGCTGAAATCTTGAAGATCGTATGTGGGTTTTGGTCAAACATCTCCACTTTGTCTGAAGCATATTGTTCAGGAAGTCACTTGGGCAAATTCAACTTTACAGATGTAGGTTGTGTTTCTGTGCTTTCCTTTTTTTTAGTTAAATAACTTTCCTTTCACAGGCATTTGAAATATTCAATACTCGTCTAATATACTATCCTGAACATCAACATCATCCATGTTACGTTTGACTTGTATATTCTATGACAGTGGTGTTATAGTTTGACAGTAAAAATCCAGCAATTAGATATTGGGTCTACAATATTTATTGTGCTAAATAAGTGCTAGTTACATAAGTGCGTTTAGAACTTATGTACCAAATTATTATGTGGTTATAAATTTGGTCATTACCAAATTACTACAATTTACTTAGAGGTCAGTTCCTCGTGTATCACTACACATTGTGCTAACAGGAAATTACACTTATGTTGGCGATTACACAGCTGAAGTTGGAGGTACTTCCTGAAACTAACTTTATGCATACATAATTATATTATATGTCTGATTTGCAACATTATCTTCCTCTCCCATTTGTGCTTTAATGCCTTGAAATTACCAAATGATTTGCAAAACTGCAGAAATGTAAACCGCACTACTTTATTTTTCCCTTTGTTCCTGGATATGTTTGACACAAAATAACTTTTTTTTTAAATCAAAACTTAGATGGTAACTGATAAGTTTGTGTAATAAAATGGAATGGTAACTGATAAGTTTGTGTAATACAATGGAATATTAGGGCCATCGTAGATATAGAAAAAATAAGAGTAAATTTCAGCCAAATAATTCTGAAATTTCGGGAGTAGTCTCAAAAATCCTCAGGAAAAGAACAAGAACATTTCTAATTGTGAAATGTTGACAATTTTCTATTTAAAAAAAAAAAAAGACAAAGAAAAACTCAGAAATTTTGAGGGGAAACATTTTGGACATTTCTGTCTTCCACAAGCCAAAAAGAGTTTCAAAGCTCTAAATTTTTCGACTTTTGAAATTTCAAAATTTTTTTCTAGAAAAAATGTGTCACTTTTCAAACTCAAAAATTTTTGTTTGTTTTTTTTCCTGACATTTTTGGATATTTTTCAGAGGAAATGTACTCCTCTCTTTTTCTCTACCTACTGTGGTCATAAAACACTGGCATAATGTAACGTTTGTTCCAAACGAACAAAGAAAAAAAATGATTAAAAGTGCTGAAAGAAACAAAGACGAATTGAGCTGTTTCAGTAAAAAACTAAATAAACGGTTTATAGTTAATGTAAACTATATTAACAGTTTTGTTTACACACTTAACACACAACTATCATCCAGACAAACAAGCAAAGAGACACCATTCTTGCTGTTTCATATACATTTCTTGCCAACCTGTTTGTATCATTGCCAGAATAATTCCAGTTGATCTCCACAGCAGCGATGTAGTAGCGTCTCTCCTTGGATCTCTGCAGGTCCGCTTTAATGACCAGCGCTGCCAGGAGAACCAGGACGGGCAGGAGACGGTGAGCTCCTATCCCAGGACAGAGCTTCATGTCTGGGATCAATCCTCCAGGTGAAATGCTGCTCGGTTCCACAAGACTGTGATCTGACAGAGAGCTGCGTTGTGTGTGTTATCTGTCACTGATACACACACGTGTCTGTTTCCAAACAGTATGTACCGGGGCAATGAACTGTGCCTCAGTGTATTTTTGTTTTTTCTTTCTTGGTCTTGTAATTGAAGTCATATGTCCTTTATCTTGAGTCATCCCTGAGGTTGTACCCAGTCCCATCTTTACTGAAAACGTCTCGTAGGAATAAGTGCTGAAGTATTTATCTGACCTCAGAATGTCCCTGGAAAGTCAGCCATGCAAAAATACACATGCTGTAAATCTACACTGGGACATTTGGTGGAAACGTGGAGCCATGAAACACTCACGTGGATTGGTCTTCTGGGAAATAAACAACCGAATCAACTCTGACTGTGCCTATTCATACAAATAAATATGAAACAGCTCTCAAAGTATGTTTTCCTCAACGACTAAGGCAGATCACTGCAAAAGCACAAAATATTACAGAGTATTTCTGTAGTTTCTGGTGCAAATATCTTAGTACTCTTGAAATAAGACAAACCAAACTAATAAGTAACTTTTCAACAAGCCATATGGGCTTCTTTTAAATCCTTAATATTGATGAAAAAGTACTAGTTCCACTGGCAGATCTTGTTATATCTTGTTATAAGTGAAATAATCTGCCAGTGGAACTAGTAATACTGCTGAAAGTCTAAAATACACATTTCCAAAGCATTCTTAATTAAAAAACAAAACAAAAAAACAACCCATCATAATCATGGTTGTCATTTGTTCGAATGAACAAATTTAAACATTGAAATGAACAGTGGAAATGAATATTGTAACATGTAAATCTGACAGTGGATTCAGCATGACAACAGGTCAAAATTAAACATAAGAACATTTTGCAGCACCTGGGAAGTATGTGGACAAAAGGCTGAAAACGATGTATAAATGAAATGCACTAATAATTTAGAAGGTCCTTACCTATTTCACCTCTTAATTAGTTTTAACTATGGGTAACTTCCTGTTTGATTCGTGGTGCTTTTAGTTTGAAGGGGCAATTTCCGGTTTAACTGTTGGAGCAAAGTTAGCTTAACGGCAACCAGAAGACGTAACGGAGAGTATAAAATGTCTATATTTTTTCAGCACCCTCTTGATAGAGACAAAAGGTATGTTTATAAAACATGTAAATAAGTACATGTTTCAAATATTGTGTGACTTAAACCGTAAAATTACATAAAGATGTATTTTTTTAAAACAGCTTTTATTTAATCATCTTTGTATTTAAAAACACTACTGAATTCTAAGTCGTTTTGGCCATTAAAATAAAGAGCCGTAGCATAAATGAAATGCAGTTAAGTAAATAACTATAATCAATATTTGTGAATGTTCAAATTAGCAAGTTATGTTTTAGAGTAAAAGCAAATCCACTGGGGTTTCCATCAGAAAAATGTCGTTATGATGAATATATTCAATGTTATTCCTAACTCAGTTCCATCAAATGCAGCAAAGCGTATCTGAGAAGAGTTCCTACGAATGGCTACGTTCGGCAGCGCGTGAGTCCTCGCTGCATGACGTCACCGCGCCAGCTGCGTCGTGAACGCGTACGATTCCTAACAAGGAAGTCGTCGGTTTGTGTTGACGGAATAAGAAGCTTCAGCTATGCTTTGGATAAAAGCAGCAATAAGTGGTACGTCGCTGTAAAAACGGAGACATCTTTCAGTTCGTACTGGTTTAACTGCTACAGAAAATATTACTTTATTTTAATATAGAACCACAGCTGTTGCCATGCTATGTTAATGCTAACTAAACGATGAGCAGCTGGTACAAAGAGAAAGGAGAGAACAGAAAAACGCCCACTATTATTTCAGTTTTGCATGATTAGATGGGCGTTATTCCCTTAATTATGTTAAAGCTGTTTTTGTAAAATTCTATTAAATGTGATTATTCTTTCATAGATTTGTTGGCTTTAAATGTAGATTGAGAATGGCTACCTGTCTCTGTCAAAAAGCTCAAAGCTAAAGTTGACTGTGTAGTCTTGGGTCTTCAACCAGGGGTGTCCACAGTGTGGGGTGGGGGCCATTTGAGGCCCTTACAATAATGTAATGTTGATAAATAGCAGGCCTAAAAGTTTGTCTTAAGCAAATGTCATGACATTGTGTGACATCAGTTCAATTCAATCGAATTAAATTAAAAAGATGCTTTGTTAAACTCGGAAGGAAATTAAATGTTGTTGTAACTCATCCAAGTTTCTTCAAAGACTGGACTCCAAAGACTTGCCATGGTCCCATGAACTGTCTGGTTAAGAACCACCAATCTGGCAGTGTTTCAGTTATTTAAAACAAAAAAACTCAGTAATTATTGATATCGACTGATATGAAACTCTCATGTCTTGATGAGTTCTTTAGCCATACCATCTAGCCCTATCACCACATAATCCCTCTCTCATTTGTTCCAGCTGCTCTGACAAGTTGTGACCAGTTGAATTTTATCTTCAGTGTTGCAGTCACAATCCAGCAGCCTGATTGTTTGTGTGACAGGTCTGAAGAGCTGAACCCAGAGCAGCTTCCTGCGCCCCAGCCAGCCAGAGCCATGGTGAGCTGCTGCCCCCGCCCCAGGCTCTGCTCCCGCTCCTCGGCCTACACGCTCGCTCTCGGCCTGGGCTTCGTTACCTTGGGGACGAGTCGCATCGTGCTGCTCAAGTTCTCAGCAAACGCCGGTGAGCGACAGGATGTACATTTTTAAACATAACATTGAATGACAATAAACTCTCTGTCAATATATTAGGCGGTTGTCTCCAGCAGGGGTATCCACAAAAAGATTGGCTCTCTTTCATAAGTAATACATCTTGCTGCTTTTTTTTTTTCCTACTTTATTTTCAGAAAACAAGTATGACTTCCTCCCTGCATCTGTGAACCTGTTCGCTGAAGCTCTGAAGCTGCTCTTCTGTCTGGTTATGTCAGTCAGAGTGATAGTCAGAGGTAAAAACATCACTGTCATATTTACTAGAAATGCACCGATCAATATCCATATTTGTATTGGTCCAGATATTGAAAAAAATTCCAAATGGAGTATCAGTGACAATGTTAAAAAAAAATCAAAAAACATTTTGTTTAAAAATAGAAATATTTTGAAACAACAATTTGAGTAATCAATTCAGTAATATCGATATGTATCAGATCGGTATCAACCGATACTTAACCTCAGGTATTGGTATGGAAAGTGTAAAGAGTGGATTGGTGCATCTTCAGTATTTACAGTGGAGAACAGAAGTTTACATTCGCTGAATAAAAAGACACACACTGCTTTCTTCTAACTGTCGAAAGTTAAATCAAACCAAACTTCTCTTGCTTCGGGACGGAATCATCAAAATTTCTTCTGTGTACAAAAAGCCACAATAATGAGTGAAAGAATCTGCCAGAGATTCATAAATTAAGACATTTTCTGCTGCTTTTCTGCTGTGTGTGTGGGTTTTCCTGCCATTTTTATCACCAGTCTCGCTGTTCACTCTTCTTGTCACCTGACACATCTGATGAGTGTCACTTTGACTCTAATTATATAAGTTTTATAGGAGTTGTTTCTACTTTTGTGCTCCATTTCAAGTCCAGAACATTTTGACACTCTGACATTTGTTTGACTCATCATCTCCGTCACATATCTCATAGACTCATTGTGAGGGTTTGGCATGTTTTTATCATGTTTCAGTTCATCAGTTTATTCCAGTCTGTCTGGCTTGATTCTGCTTATGGAGACACTTTCAGCAGATTTCTGTGTCTGAGAACAGATAACAGCCTAAAACTCACCATGTTTTCAGTCAGCTAATTATTAGCGACCAGGCGAGTTCTTATTACATTTTGCTTGTTTGTTCTTTAAAGAAATGGAATCAGATAGGCAAATATGAAGATTATTATTGTTGTTTGAGTCAGTAGGGACGCACCAATCCACTTTTTTCACTTCCGATACCGATAACTGAAGTTTAGTATCAGCTGATACCGATCCAATACAGACAAACATCGCTGTATTGACTCATTTTTTTTGTAAGCACACATAAATGTACTGAATTACAAATTTATTTGATAACTTTGCACCAGTACAGTACACTGAAATACACCAAACGCTTTACAAGTCACATATGAAAAAACATCACAACTGTAATTTGTTCAGTCAGTGCAATGAAGAGTTTAAGATGGACAGATATAATGTGAAATAAATAACTATAAAGTATGATGTCACTCAGACCACAAAGCATAGAATTTTACTGAATAGATCTGTGCTTATGGATTGGAAGCATTACTAACAATTTGAGCTTTTTAAAAATATACGTCCCAATATTTTAAAAATATAGGTGCAGCTCAAGTTAAAAGTAAAAATGTTGCAGTAAAAATGTTGCATTTTAAAAATATAAATATATAAAATTCATAGAATTTTTACTGCATGTATGTGTGCGTGCGTGCGTGCCTGCCTGTGTGCGTTTGTGTGTGTGTCCTCAGAGGGACGATCATGCAGGGAACTGGGCTGCGCCTCCAGCTCCTCCTTCCTGATCTCCCTGAAGTGGGCCGTTCCGGCGTTCCTCTACTTTCTGGACAACCTCATCATCTTCTATGTGATGACCTACCTGCAGCCGGTGGGTAAACGGTCAGATCAGGATCCTCATCACACACTCTCAGGGCCTTATCTGACCTCAACACACACTCTCAGGGCCGGACTTACCGGGATGTGGGGCCCTGGGCGAGAGCCACTTTTGGTGCCCCATAAGCAAATTTGTCTACTATTAAAAATGACAGCACAACAATACGTAATTCTATACATGAACTAATGCATGGTTGGTTTAATATGTCCCCTGAACAGTAGCTCCATATAATCCTAAAAAAATTACTTTAACTTCTTAATTTTCAAATACTTAAGGATTGTTTATATTTGTAAAATTCCCAGACTTTGACTAAAATTCAAATGGTTGTAGAATCATTTGATATGGTTCTACAACTTTTATATAAAGTTATAAAGTACAATACAAAACACATATTCATTTAAACAAAAATTTAAAAAGTGTTTGGTGCCCCCAAGAACACATCGCCCTGAGCTACTGCCCATGTAAGCCCTTTCTAATGTCTGGCCCAGCACACCGTGCCTTCCCAATTTTATTTTATTTTTTTTACTGTGTGTATTTTATTTTATTTTGTTTTGTTTTATTTTGTGTATTTTATCTTTTAATTTTATTTTGTGTATTTTATTTGAGTTGTTGAGCTTTAAGGAAAGAAAACAATATATTGCTTTTCTACAATAAAAATCTTTAAAGTCTGATGTCTCTTTTTAGCCAGTCCCCTTTTACTCCAACGTCCCAAAATAAAATGAATTTCATCCAATTGGCCTCTATGTAAACCCAGTTGTGTATGTTTTAATCTCTGTAAATCCAGCTGTTCTGTTTCTGAACTCTGAGGTTTTTTAGAGAACATTAGTGAACAAACGGCATTATAGAGGCCAAGGAACCTTTTCTCAGGTATTCAATGTGATTATTTGTGGAGTAAAGCCAGAGTTCCTCCTGTATGTCAGACCTCAATCCTTCATTCTTTTCTCTCTAAAGGTGTTGATTTTTCATTTTCTGACTCTGCTGTTGCTCTTGTTGTTCCAGGCCATGGCAGTGCTGTTCTCCAACTTTGTCATCCTGACCACAGCTGTTCTCTTTAGACTTGTTTTAAAGTAAGTGGCTCAACTCAGCATTTCCCTGTTTGTTCCTACCCTGAGATGTGGCTATTAATGCAGAGACAAAAGGCATTCTTGCATTCATGCACTATTGGTGACCTATACAAGGTGTCTGCATAGCCTTAAAAAGTCTTAAATTCATGTGTCTAAATTTACGGCCTTCAAAACCTCCTAAATTCATTAAAAAATGTAAGTTGTCAGGCAAAAGTAGTTGCTAACATACCATTTATAGCTAGCTAGCTGTTTTGCGCCTGTCATGCGTATTTGCAGCTTTATCACCGTTTGACTGGATGACATTCATTTTTACCACTCGCTCAGTTCTGTTCACATCCCCATATGTGGTTAGGCACATTCTGCACAAAAGAAAAATAACTTTTCAGCCAGGCACTATGGGGATAAGGCTATGGAGCCATATGCAGCACGAAAAAGACAAATCTGCTGCCAAGAGCCACAAACCCCAGAAATGTCTGTTTTTAGTAGTACGATTGTAATACAGCAGAATCTCCCAATCATCCCTTATATTTATAGTTTTTTCTGTCTTAAATTTCAAGGTGGGACTAAAAAGGTTTTAAAAAGTCTTAAATTTGACTGAACCTGCAGATACCCTGTAGCTAGCTTGCTAGATTATTTGTGTCTATTGTATATAAGGGCAACTTTATCCAGAAACGACACAGTTTTGGTGCCCTGGTGTGGCTAAAGCTCCCTAGAAAATTATCTGATATTTTCTTTTGCACATTTCTGTCACAATACAGGTATTAAATTCCATTCATAACAGCCTTAAAAAGGTCTTAAAAAGTCTTAAATTAGAGCTAGTGAAGCCTGATCTCACCAGTCTGCAGCATGAAGGGTGCTATAGATTTTTCTTAGTCTTGTGTTGAGCATCTTCAGACTGACCAGCTGTCGTTCCAGTGTAATTAAACCATTATGATGGACAGCTTCAGCATCAGACGGACATGTTTGGTTTTTCCTTCAGGAGACGCCTGTCCTGGGTTCAGTGGGCTTCTTTAGTTATCCTCTTCCTGGCCATCGCCTCCTTGACAACAGAATCAGGGGGCAGCCAGAACTCCATAGCAGTGCCAGGCCTTCACTCAAACCCGCTCTCCACCCCGTCCAATTCCTGCATCCTCTACACACAGCTCCTGGAGCAGATGAAAAACAGCAGGTAACTTCACTCTGGAGGGCCACCAGGCTTTACTTGCCCCCCCCGCGAGGCATTTGTTTATTTTAAATAGGAGTTTTTACACACCAGGAACATCGACAGTAAAGACACATTAGGCTGGTTTTATAGTTGACACACCAACTGCAACGTCCCTGCATCTGCCTGTTGGCTTCACACACTATTTCAAAATTACAATTCTTCCTTATGTGACTCAGAATTTTGTAACTTTTAACATTTTTTTTTAACACAAAAACCTCAAGAGCCCCCACCACCGGGCTTAGCAGGTGTTCTGAGGGAGACTCTGGCAGCCGTCATAGATTGACCAGTACATGGATCATTTCTTGACTGACAAAAGACCCGACAGAGCCTGGGCTGCCGTCTCCAGAGCTCGTACTCCTGTGGTGAGAGTGTTTGTTGGTTGTCCGGCAGCGCCTCCGAGTCGTGGACGTCGTCTCTGCCCGGTCAGGCCTGGAAGGAGCGGGTGGTGGAGAAGCTTCAGTCGCTGGGCGTGGGTCACGTCCTGCTGCTGCTGCAGTGCTTCATTTCCGCCATGGCCAACATCTACAACGAGAAGATCCTGAAAGAGGGAGACCAGCTGACAGAGAGCATCTTCATTCAGAACAGCAAACTGTGAGGAAACGCTGAAGCAGCAGGAACACGGTGTGTGTTATGGTGTGTGTTGTGGTGGTCTCACCGGGCCGCCTGCTGTCTGCAGGTATGTGTTTGGTGTGGTGTTCAACGCTCTGACTCTGGGGCTCAGCAGCGAGGCGAGAGGACTCACCATCCACTGTGGCCTCCTCCATGGACACAACGTCTACTCCCTGGCCCTGGTGCTGGTCACTGGTGAGGACTGATGGGCGGTGCTGCTACTGCTGCAGCGCCAACGAGCAGAGATACTGACCTGCCAGTGTCTACAGATTCAATTCTGATTCTTAGGGTCACAATTCAACTGAAGTTTTAATTCAGAAACAATTTTCGATTCAGAAGCTATTTTTATTTCAGAAACCAATTTTTCCATTCTTGAGATTCTGTTTAAATTGTGAGACTGACAGGAGTGTGAACAAATAGAAAACAGTTATTGTTATGTCAGTTGTACGAAATTTCATCAGTTTATATTTAACCAAAAATAAAGTTCTGTAAATTAATTGACCATTATTAGTTTAGTTTAGCTTCATGGCTTTTTCTTAAATGGAAAAATATAAAATAATTATTCCTCTTCCTCTCTCAGCCGCTCTGGGCTTGTCTGTCGCCTTCATCCTGAAGTTCAGAGACAACATGTTCCACGTGCTGACGGGGCAGATCACCACCGTTCTGGTCACCGGCTTCTCCCTCTTCCTGTTCGACTTCCGGCCGTCGCTGGACTTCTTCCTGCAGGCGCCCATGGTCCTGCTGTCCATCTTCATCTACAACGCCAGCCGGCCCAGGGACCCCGAGTACAGCCTGCAGCAGGAGAAGCTGCGGGTCATCAACGGAGAGGTGTTCGAGAGGTCCAGAGGGGTAAGCGGCTCGGCTCAGGTCAGCAGGCAGCGGCACGCTCAAACACTGTGAGCTAAAGCATTTCACAACTGAATGGAGTCTGAGCAATTAGCCAGGAGAAAGGTCTAAAACATACAGAGAAGAAAGTTTTACACCTTTACCAACATGTTTTAGACACTTGTTTTTAATGGTAAAACTTTGTTAAAGGGTTAATAGAGGAGCCATGTTGTCATGACTTCCTGAAGGCTTCAGAAAGAGCAGGGACTTCTTAAAGAGACAGAGTCCCAATTTAGTTATTTTTTTTCCTTTTCCCTCAATAGTTTTCGCACTGAACTGTACAGAATAAGTCAGATTAAAAGGGTAAAAGTTTTTGAAATGATTCATCAGGGAAACCGCTGCATAGTTTACGGCGTGTGGATCCAGTGGGATGCTTGTCTAAACACATCCTGTCCTCTGTGTGTTCCTGCTGCTGTAGGACGGCGAGGAGCTGGAGCTCCTCACCAAAACCAACACAGACAGCGAGTCTGACGAAGACTCTCTGTAAAAATCCCGAGTTCAGAGGATAAACCACTGCTAAAGCTGAAGTCTGAACCTCGTCACCCGGCATTTGAACTGAATAACGGTGAGAAACGGCGCTGAAGGCAAGGTTCTAATTCACATTCTGAAACGTGCCTGCTTGTGCATGAATGCTGCTGTTTGTGTTGTGACAGAGGAGTGACAATTAAAAAAAAAAATCGGACAGCACTTAAGGATCGTTAAGAGTTTTTCTGTGTAAATAATCCTGTAATGCCTCCAGCTGTTGAGCCAATCTTGAGCTGGGATTGGGATCCTATAAGACTTTGGACTTTTGACATATGGAAAGGTTATTTGATAATCTCTGGTTTTATCCTGCAATGTACATCGTAGGTTTTAATCAGTCCATGCTGAGTCGAGTCATTGGTGGCTCTGTAGGGAATCGTAAAAAGGGAAAAAAAGGGAAGCCAAAAACAGGAAGTTTTATATTTTTCATCAGATGGCCATCTTGCTTTGTTTGCCGGCCTAATGAAACCATGCGTTTTGTGGGTCTAAATGTGAAGAACTGAAGGAGACTTGGTGGAACATCAAGTTTGCCCCACTTTTTACATTTTCTGTCTTGAATCTTCTGAATAATCAGCGTGTATATTGGGATCAAAGGTGTGGAATTTGGATTTCTACTGCGTCAGGATGGGGCCCCTTTCTGTTCCCGCGATGTGACTATATGATTAAGAATCAACTATTTATTAGGAAATTCTATTTTGTTGTGCTGTGAGTGCCCAAATGTTCAAATTCATTGGCAGTTTAATTAGAAATTAAGGACAAGCTGCCAATTTCACTTTGTTTCCTGTATTTGTTATGCTGAGGCGAGTGAATCTTTATCAATACAGACATCAGAAAATGCTATCGGTGACAAGTTGGACGAAAAAAGAGCTCGTTTATCAATAAAAGCACAAAAACTTTACTGTTCCCAAGAATTGGGAACAGGAACATGAAGCAAAAGCGTTTCGGTTCATCAAATCTCTGTATGCGAATATGTGGAGCAGACCTCCACGTTTACATTTCATGTATATTTAATGGTACGTCTGATCTGAGAGCATTGAACGAATCTGCTTCAAATCTGCTGCAGCTTGATCATTAATGTTCATTTGGTGGATTAAATTGTGAAATTCCGTAAAATGCATCTTTTTCTTAACATTGTTGATGCCTTTGAAATATGTCCGCCGTTTATTGTGAAATGACTTTTTTCTATTAAAAGAAACTTACTGAAGCACAGTGGGCATTTTTGTGTTAATTATTTTTCTAAAGAAAAAATAATCAGTTTTATGTTTGAAGAACAAACTAAACAATCTTCTCGACCACAGTTCATAATTAGATAAATTATTTTAAACATTTTAATTGGCTCACAGCTTTCAGATTTTCCCTTTTGCGCCTTACCAAATCAAGCCAGCAGGGGGAGGTACTATTTAAGACATTGCTACACAGCTCACCCAGAAAAGCTTCAGTAATTCATGACCACGATTCATCACTTTGTAAATTGTGAGCTAAAATTACAGTCACTAAATGATTAAGTTTCATGTCCTTCAATTGCTCTTTTGATGCATAAAGAGTTCAGTTGTTTTTCTAACCTTCTCTGCTCAATATTCATATTACTGAAGCGATATAAATCAGTTAGGATGCTACTTTTACATTAAAAAACCAACTTTTAAACCAAGTTGCTCTCAACCAGGCAGTAAATGACTCAGCTAAACATGGTGGCTTCCTGCTTCCAGAACGTCCACAAACCCTTTTCCTGCCCTCTACTTTGCAGTTGGGATTGCTACCTCTGGTCATTATGGCCAAACAATTTGTTGTCATTTGAGTTTCGTCAGATCACAGGACACAAGATTGAGGCTTTTCTTAAATCTGTTTTTTTATGGTTAGATGGCTTCCTCTTTGATGCTCAGGGTTAGGTACAAAATTCATTTCACTGCCGGTGGATAATGAAGCTCTCTTTCCAGCTTCAGGCAGCATCCTCAACAAGGTCATCCGGTTTCGTCTTGAGGTCAATTCGCACATCTTGACATGTTTACATTAAACAAATTTATTTTCTTAATTCCAATTTGTGCAATTATATGGTCAACGGACACACAGTTAGTGATGGTGAATACCAGATGATCCTTGTGTGTGAGTAAAAACATGTTTTCTAAAAGTCATTCAGTTTACTGCACCAGTAGTAAAAACATTTTTATTCATCATATTTGCTAGCATGATATAAATAGGAACATTGTAGAGCAACGTAGACTTTACAGAAGGGAAATAATGTAACAGATCTGAACAAAGGTCGGTAATTGCACTTTAGATGCCACAGATTTCCAATAAATACATATTCAAGCTCATTATCTACAAAAAAAAATAGATTTGTCCTGAAAATGTGAAAATGTAAATTCGACAAAGCAAGTAAAGGTGGTAGGTGGTTATACACGCTTGATGCTGGAAAGTAACAAATACAAAAAAACTCCAACCTGTGACTGGATAAAAGCCCACGACCTGCACCTCGTGGTACGATGTGCTGTACATGAAGGGAGCTCAGGAGTTTCCTTTAAGTGCTACAAAATATTTCAAAAGACTACATCCCTGACTACCATGTGGAGGATGGCTATAAAACTTCATGACAGGATATCAGAGGACCAGTTAACACGATTGTCGTTAATGGGCTTAATATCCGTAACCCTGGTGATAGCCTTCCTGGTAACCGTGTTGATGGTAGCCGTATCCGCCGTACTCGTCTTCCGGGCAGCGCATGCCGAGCGACTGCTGGATGGCCATCTCCTGCCTGCGAAGCTGCATGGAGTCCACCAGGTCGTAGATGATAGCCATGGACCACATGGGTGAGGGGTACCAGGACTTCACGTTGCCATCTTTACCCACAAGCAGCATGGAGAAGTACTCCGGGCTGATTTGGAAGTAGTTCCTCATGTCCTTCACCAGGGTGGCGGAGAGCCCTTCACGCTCCACTGTGGCACTGCCTGGGCAGAGGAAACACCCAAAGAAGAGTTTGACGGTATCTAGAGGAGGGTTTCTTTCAACAGAGCAGAGTCCAAAGACATTATTATCTTTAGACTTAGACTTTTCAGACTTCTAGACTTTATTCTCCCCAAGGGGAAATTCTTTTCCACAAACCCCTGCACTCCCAACGCTAACAACTAAGTAGACAATAACATACAGTATGAAATGAAACATAGCATAAAATCATCACACAGCTCATTCTTTAGGGAGGCTATAACTGTGGGCATCAGGTGTTTCGCTTGGAGATTTTACAGACTCCTTTGACATTTGCTGGACCTTCAACTTATCCAGGACTCCAGCAGACAAAATTCTGACTTTAGTATTTAAAGAAAATGGTCTCTCTAAAATTGCATTTCACTTTATCAAGGCCAGAGGACAGCAAAGAGCTTCACACTACATTCACACACACATTCACACTGATGGTGGCAAGCTACTGGATAGTAGCCACAGCCTCCCTGGTGCAGTCTGACTGAAACGAGTTTTCCAGGCCACTGGTGCCTCTGAAAATGGAAAACCAAGGTTACTACTCAATTGACACCGCTAGCAAGGGGTGCCGCTTATGACACATCGTGCTACGTATGTTGCATGTGTTTTGGGATGAAGAGTGTAAAGTTTAGTGTACTATTGTAGTAAGTTGATACTCAATTAGCACCACTGGAAAGGCGGGTGAGGTGTCTCACAGTACATGTATGGCAGTACATGTGACTTTTTCATCATCATCAATCATGGACTATACCAGGGGTGTCAAACTCAATTTCACCGAGGGCCACTTCAGCATATTGGCCCCCCTCAACGGGCCACATTGACGGTACTGATCAGGAGTGCATCCCTGCTAAAACACACCCCAGACAAAAGGTTGACTTTCCTCATTAGCAGCAACTCAGTCTTATTATGAGTCAATGATCCAGGTGTTTCAGAGAAGAAACACATCTAAAGTTGCAGAATGGTATCTCTGGAAAACTAGACTTGGGCACCCGTAGCATAAATAAATAATGGTAGGGCTGTAATATATATACATTATAGACTTTACGCAAAGATTTAGTCTCAGAGGCAACTGAAATCAATTAATTAAAAACAATCCTTTCTGAATATCATCTCATGGTCTCTGAACTAAATGTGTCTTTCTGACCGGGAGCTGACAGCGTGTTGAAGTGTTATGGACCGGACGCTTTGGAGCTTCTGGTTAGGAAGCGCATTACAAACCTTTGGTTGAAATGGCGCGTTAAATTAAAGTCTCCGTTACAGACCAGAGGAAACTAAAGAGAATGCAACGTTGTGTTAATCCATTTGAGGAGCCGGAAGTTTATCTTGAGGAAATAAATGACGATG